CAATTATTGTCCTAACCCCAGCACCAATCTTCATAAAAGTTGTCACTCTACCTCCGTTCCTCTTCTCCCATATCTTCAAGGGAGATTCAGCATTTTGCATACTTGCCTTTTACGGTTTCCCCGGATATACGGCTTCACAGTTACAATCTCGGGCATTCCTCTCGGCACTCATCTTTTGATAGCGCTTGGAGAGTATCATAAGGATCATCTTCCCAGGTCATACTACTCAATTCATAAACATCAAAGTTTTGCTCACTCTTTCTACTGCAGGCATCTGCACTACAATTTTTTTGGCATCCCATATCCTTCTGGCCCTGACCAATGAAATCAAAACCGGGAGGAAATTGACATATGCGATTCCTGTCCATCAGAGTGCAGTAGCTATTCACACCGAACGAGCCTTCAGGATCGCATTTATTATCAAAGGATGACCATTCGGCTGACCAATTACCAGATTGGTTGGAACTTTGTGAATACAATCGAAATATTCAATTTGCATCAATAGTTGCACGGTCGGTAGATGAGATTATGAGAGACACTAGCTTTATCGGTAATGTTTTTAACAAGCAATATGGTAGCATTCGGAAGGTAAAGCTGACAATTGTTATCGAGATTCAGGGTCACATTATCTCCAGCATTAAATGTTTCTTTATTCCTGTAAGCAGCCTCCTGTTTTAGAGAATCTACAGGGTATTGTACCAGATTACCATCTCTCTCCTTAATATATTTATTTGAGATTTGTTAGATATTATTTTATAGACAAAAAAATTTGTAAAAAAATAATTTAAAGAAAAAAATTTTTAATAGATAAATTTGACTTGCAGAATAAGAATTCTAAAAGAAAAAGAATTCTTAATAGATAAATTTGTATAGTTATAAATAGGTAAATTTCTATAAGATTAGATATGAAAAAAAATATAAGAGAGTTGTAGAGTTTTACTACTGAAGATTACGTCTCATGGCTGTGTATGTTTGTATGTTTGTGAGTGACTAAAAGAGACTAAGAGGATCCATGTAAGTATGGTACATATGAGTGGACTAGAGGAGATTAAGATGATCCACGTAGTTATAATATACGGGTGCATATGAGTATGTGTTTGGTTGTGTTGAAAGGATACACATGGGTATGTATTTATATGGGTTGAAAATACTCCATAAGACTATAAGAGATTGAGAGGGTTGTATGTTTGTGAGTGGACTAAAAGAGACTGAGAGGGTCCACGTAAGTATGGTGCATATGAGTGAACTAGAGAAGATTTAAGATAATCCACATAGTTATAATGTACGGATGCATATGAGTATGTGTTTGATTGTATTGAAATGGTACACATGAGTATGTGTTTATATGGGTTGAAAATACTCCATAAGACTATAGAAGATTGAGAGGGTCTATGTGTATTGATTGTTGAGGGATTTATATGTTTTTATGTATGTTTGTAATTCTCTACAATTAATGGATCTTATTTTTCATCTATAGATATAAGTTAGTTGAATCGAACTATGTTAAATTACTGTCTCTTGTGTAATTGATTGATTATTTGATTATGCTTCAATTGATGTGATTGGATTGAGACTTTTTAGCCTAACAGAAACTTTCCCCTAGTATGATTTGTTTAGGATAAATGAGAAATAAAACTTTGATCATGTAAAATGGTGTCTATAGGGGAATCAAAGTCAGCCATAAGATCTCCGATTTGAATCAAAGAGAACAAAGTTGCCAGAGTCAAACATGGAGGCTGAGGACTCAAACGTAGCATTTGGAATGATGGTCTCTCGTCCTTGCATGAGTCTGTTGCACAACAAGCCTACCTTCAGTGCTTAAAAGCAATGTAGCATCACTATAGACTGGTGGCTCATCTCGTTTTGCTGTCCATACGACAGTTTCCTGCTGGATGTTTTCAAACTAGATTCCTGCAGAGAAGCCATTGTCATAGGGATAGAAACCAAAGGCAAACTGGCCAGACTCCGAAAGCCAATATGAATTATTAGTTGGAGAAACAGAAGAAGCTAAATAAATGTTGGAAACTCTTGTTTGAGCTTCTGTTGTGAAAAATATAGAACTTTGAAGAAAAATGAAAAGCACGAAAGCCATTTCCCGATAGTAGAAACTTTGAAACCTTTGCCTGCCTCCTTCTGAATAGAGATTAGTCATTATGCCTTCAGGGACATGTTCTTGGAATAGAAACTGGTTCCTAAGGCAAGGAAATATTTTACAAATCTTGATTCTGCCCCAATGGCATGTTTATTCTTGACTAAGTTCCTTTCATTTCTCCTTTCCACTGATATTCCTTTCTCTTTTTTCTGGAAGCAGCAAAGGCTTGAATTGTCGAATGTTCAAAAAATTACTGCTAAAACCAATTCACTGACGAACAACAGAAGCCAAATATTTCTTGAACCAAAAAGAGAGAGGTAAATGGTGGTAGTTGATGTGCAACAAGCTCGAAAGTTGCTGAATTGCCATCCTTATTCCATAGTGTACATTTATACTGTAAAATGAAAATCACTCTCTACCCAACTTACTACTTAATTTTTGGCCAGTTGTTACTTTCCTCTGGGTTGGTTCCTTTTACGAAAGACTGCCCGTTTGAGAAGAACTAGCAAGGTTCTTCCAGTTGTATATTGACCATATTTTTTTGACTAAAACCATGTTTTATGATTGCTTGGAATCGCGGTCGGGTCTAAATTTTTTTTTGAAAATTTGATTTGTTTATTCACTTTAAATTTGATAATACTAATTGATTCATATCATCATTTTTAAAAAATTACATTTAATAAATTTAAATTTTGAACCTCAAAACCTGCAATATTTCTGTTGTCCTTGAGACAATGACCTCTTATATATAAAAAAAAAAAAATCGTCACACCAAACAGGATGGAATTCTATAAAACTTTTATCTTTTTTCGTTTAGATTTGTTCCATGATGCATAAAAGAAGTTCTCGATGTAATCTCACTAATTTTATCTATGCAAAAAGGCTCAAATTAAGTAAGAGAAATCTGTCCATCTGCCCTATTTATCAAATCAAAACAAGACCAAAATCTAATATTTGATAAGATCAATTCCGCAAAATCCTATTTCACGTTGGGAAGAATATTTAACCAAAGTTTCAGTACACACTTTTGACCTTCGAATATCCTTTGGTTTCCACAATAGCTACTGAAATTAAAATCCTACAATAATATTAATTCCAGCACGCCGAGAACTTTATGAGTTTTTAGAATTTGTGTCTATAATAATTCTTAACACTATAATTATATTTGTTCTTCAATAATTCTTAACAACATAATCGTGTTTGTTCTTCAATAATTTTTAGTAACATAAGTGTATTTGTTCGTTTAACTTAAGTTTTGTGGTTTTGTTAAGAGGATATTTCAAGTTCAACAATATATATTCTTCATGTAACGCCAATGACCAAATTGCATTTTGAGTACAAACAAATCTAGTATTTTCCCTTCTTAAGTTGTATATCTCTTATATGGATTTTGTTGTAGTGATGAATTTGTTTAGCATTTTTATAGGATGATAAATTCTATACCCTATAGTTTATAATTATTTTTTAGGTGGTCAAACCTATATTCTTAAGTAAGATTATCTATTTATGAATGTGATTAAAAGATCCATTTCGCTTCATTTTTCACTGAAAACTGAAAAGAGCCAGACTTCTTATTTTTGGTGGTAGACTTATGCCAAGATGAAAAAAGGATTGCATGTTTTTGGTTGAGTATGGTCTTGAGTGACATATCAAACCCAAGTTATATTTCAGTAAGATTGCCTTTGGAAAAGTATTTGATCCTTCTGTAAAGTGGTAGACCTCTTCAAGAGCACTGTTTTTCTTTTCTTTTCTTTTTTTTTTAATTCTTCTTCTGTTCTTATTCGTTTGTTATTTTTCCTTCTGTTTTAATTTATTCATCGTTTCCTTCAACTAAACTGAAGAAATAGGTTGCTCATCCACTCTTTTCTCAGTAATTAATTCAATCCTATAATTAAATTGGATACTAAAATAAGATGTTTAAAGTGTGAATGCAGGAACCAATAGTTTGAGAATGGGGCATATTTTAGACTATGAGCAAGTTTTTTGCATTATTTATTGTAAATTACATGTCAATGGTCATCTATATATCTTTATAATTTCTATTTAATATAAATTAAGACTTGACATAACACAGTCTTTTCAACAGTTTTTGCTGCAAGTAATGTCTTCATAGGAGAGTTGCTTCGTTAAGTTCAAAAAATTGTATATTGAATATTATTATATTTCATCTAATCCTTGTCACTAATTCTACACATTGAAAAAACAAAATTGTGAGAGAAAATCAGATCCCCCTTTTCCACAAGCTGATGGTTAATATTTAATTATCTAACTTGGAGAACCCGGTGCTCTTGACTTGCTCCTATTCGCAGTCAACTATTGTGCTTTAAATGAATTTACCAATAAACAAAGTACAATAATGGGAACATAGAGACTAATTGGAAGAGGTTTAGACTTTCCAATGGAGTCACTTTGGGTTGGGCAAAGCAATTACAATCAACAAGAAAATAATATTCCAAAATATTACAAGCCATATAAGTTTAAGCTTAAAACAAGGTTAAACAGTGATTAAACCTCATCTTAGATTCAGCAATTTAATGTAATTTGTGTATTCATTTTTGTTTATTTCGTGTCTAACATTAATAAAACACAAAAATTATCGTATTATAATTCGTGTTAACACATCGAAAATAAATATATCTTTTGAATTTTATCAAATTCATATACTATTTTTGTTAAAATTTTAAATCATATCTCATTCGTATAATTTATCCTATTATTTTCGTATCATGTAATTGTATTGTATTTAAAATTATCATATCTGCATTTTGCCAATTTAATAGCAGCAAGATCAGCTATGCAAGAACGGTGATTTGTCAATCCATTTCCTTCAAGAAGGTTTGGATATTCACATTAACCATTTATTAATTTGTTCTCATTCAACACATCTTTAGGGAGGGAATCAAAGTCATATGCAATAATGAATATCATTAAACTTAACAATTATTCAAACTATATCCATGGATAAACTGTAGTATCCCATTATAAAGGGATTATATCTTATGAATACATATTTACAAACAGAATCCAGAAATGCTATGTAAGTAAAGTGAGAGGCATGAGAATTGTACATTTATTCCTTCTTCCCTTCAGCAGCATAGAGTGCTTTAATTTCTTCAACATCATCATAGCTGCCGAGAAATATTGGAGACCGCTCATGTATCTTTGTTGGAACCAAGTCAAGTGCCTGCAAAAATATATCAGGTTAAATCAGATCATTATGAGCAAGATATTAACAATTTTATGAGCTTCAATTTATTGTTGTCTATAGAAAATTTAAGAAAATCTCATACTCCTGCAGCATCTTTTTATTTTGAAACAAAGCTAACTTCAATTATAGTGCAGTGAGTGTGTTTCTCAACAAAAATCATTACAGCTGAGAAATTAGCAGCAAAAACAGAAACATCTCCCTAAAAATAATTTAGTTAGTCATTAGATCAGCTTGATAACAAAAAAAGTTTAACGTAAATACCCGTTGCTTGCCGGTGAATGCCTGACCTCCAGCTTGTTCCATCAAGAAAGACATTGGAAAGATCTCATAGAGAACACTAGTTCACACAAATTATTCAAACTTAGTAAGTAAGCAAATTTTTTGTTGCCAAACACATTTAACAAGCCTGTAAGAAAAGAGTTTAACTGGAACTTAAAAATATAAAGCTATAGCCCTAACTGCATTTAACATACCGCAGCTTCCCATTGGGGCTCTTCTTATCTGCAGGGTACAGAAAGATACCCCCATAGAGTAGTGTGCGATGGACATCAGCTACCATACTGTTCATCACAATTTCATTATCATAAAATCAAAGTCCATATTAAAAGAAACAAATCCAGGTCATAAACCAACTAAAAGCATCTAGATGCAAGAACAGCCATGCCAGTTTCAAAATATATCCATGATCAGATTCTTCAATTTTTGCTAAAACAATAAATCTGCTTAGATTTGACCAATCATAGTGATTTCTGTTTTCTTTGTTTTGGATAAGTAATTCCTAGTGATTTCAGTTGGGCTAGAATTTGAATGTGTTGTCATGATGACTTGCAGTCAGATTATGTATCAAAATAAGCATACAGCACACTTGACTTCAAAATCTTATAAGATTGTAAAGAGATAATTTTTCTCCTCAGTTATCCACATTAAGGAGCCTCCGAATTGCTCCTAGCCTTGGAAATGCTCTCCAAATGACATTAAACTTGACAAGTTGCTAACTCATTTGAGCAAGTCTCTCTTTCTTACAGAACTTGTAAATATTCCTCCTTTCAAACAAATGTTCAAGTTAAAAGCTCCAAAGGTTCCTTAGTCTCCTCTATCTATTTCTTTCTTTTGAAAGAAGGGAGGTTGTTTTTTTCCTATTACTTCTCCAGTTCTCCTTTAAACACCCAGATACTGGATCTTCCATAAGCAACATTCATCACATCACAATAAATCAATGATAGACTTCATTCTGTACCAGAATCAGTATTCTGACACAACAGATGGAGATAAAGCAGGCAAGGTAACTCCAATAACAACAGAATCAATGATACCTTCCAACATATCTCAGAGACTTTGAAGAGGAACCATCATTGGGGAACTTGCATTTTTCCACAAACCTGAAGTTCGTAAGAAAAAGAGTGAGGCAAGTCCACAGCAAAACAAGTAGAAAATAAAACACTTGTAAACTGAATTTAAACATACTTGGCCGTTGGACCATCCCAGTTCTTAGCATTTCCTTCATTAACCGAATAGATCTTCCCTTTCTTTGGAATCTATTAAAAAGACATGATAAACCAATGCTTCTAAATTATCAAACAAATCAGAGTTGCTATACAGAGACAAAATATGGACCTTATTAAAAACAACTAGAAATGGCATTTGATCACATTTTCTGCCATGTTTGAAACATATTTGTTGTGATAGTCATGAATGGTTCAGAATACCAGAAAGATTTTAACTTCAGAACATTGGGAATGGCATAAAACTTGCACCTAAAGATGAGGATGTACAGAATTTCTTGTAATTAGAACTTTGTAGACCAATAACAAACCTTTGATGCAATTATTTGTCAAAGAAAATTTATTTGGAAGTTTATTGAACTCAACTGATTGCAAAAACAATAGTTTTCACATTAATCCTAAGTTGTAAGAAGCTGAACAACCAAACATACTAAACAACTAATCACATGATTAATCCAATACTCACATAACAAATATACCTTGATGTCTGGGTGAGTTAGTATGAACTCTCCAAGAGATGGATCAAGGGTGAACCCGTTAACTCCTCCTCCAGTGCTCAACACAAGCTGCAAAACGATTACATTTAAGTACGAAGTGCAAGGCCATACTACAGAAAGTAGCCCATAAAATTACAATTTCCTTCCATCAAGCAAAGAAAACCTGAGATTAAAGATAAATGTTTTATTTCAAGAAATATTTAAACAGATATGCTAATAGAAATGGTATTCTTTCATAACAGAAATGTACTATCGTCATTAGCCCTGTTACCGTCTCTCTAAAATTAAATAGACATAGGAAATAAAAGTGAAAGTCTAATTATCCCCAAACAACAAGAAAAGAAAGAGTAAGTACACATGGAAAAAGCTAATTATATAAAAACAAGGGAAGTAAACATTATACCGTGCAAGAGCTTCCATACATGCAATAACCAGCTGCCAACAAATTCTTCCCAGGTTGCAGCACATCATCTAGAGTTGGTTCATGGTTATCTTTCACCATGTATATTCCAAAAATCTAGATGAAAGAGAACACATTCAGTTGACCACTGCAATATCAAGTTATCATAGAGCAATAATTACTTGGCACATATTTTGGTGCATGAACTAATGAAACAAAATAAGACGTGGCATTTTGTGATGAGGAGTCATACTGTTCCAATGGAAACTCCACAATCAATGTTGGAGGAACCATCCAGTGGATCAAAAACAACACAGTACCTGCATTATTTAAGACAAGTTCATACATTTTTAGTACTTAAAAATATAATGGAAAATTATTACTTAGAAACAGTACAGAGAACAAATGAAAGCACCTTCCACGCTTTGAGCGTTCCACAAACATTGCCTCTTCATCTTCTTCGGAGACAAGGATGCACTGTTATAACATCCCAATATGTTAAAGAGAAATTTATAAAATCTCCAGTGTTTACTAAAAGTGTCATCCAATTACTCACTGTTCTGCCACTGCTCACTAAAGCCTTGATAAAGACTTCATTTGAAAGCACATCCAGTTTCTTTTGTTCTTCACCCTTCATTCAAAATAGACAAACTTAGTATGAAAAATTAATACCATGCCAATTGCCACTTGGTACGTTGGTAGAATATTGAACTCTTAATTCCGGTGATCTGGTTCAAATCTAGACAATCTCAAATACCCAAAAAAAAAAAAAAATTAATACCATAAATAGAATATAAACAAATTATTCATTTGGCAACTACTTGCCTGGACATTAGTCTCCCCAGCAAGTCCAATGAGTTTGGCAAGACCAGCCTGCTCCAATAAACATCAAACAGATTACAATGACTTATAGGAACTGGAGACCAACTATCCCAAAAGCATAATCTGATAGGAAATGGCATAACTTTTAAACAGAACATGACCCAGAACTCATTTGGTAAAAAATGAATGGAGAAAAGATTCAAAGAAAACCCCCATTAAGAAAGAAGAATATATAAAAGAAAGACCTTGTTAACAGAAGAGCAAACAAACTTGCAACCAAGAACTATGTGATTAAGCAAGATGGTGAAATCTCCACGAGACTCAGGATACTTGGATTGCTCGTTCAACACGAAACGCGTTATTGTCATCAAATCAGTCCTATGAGCATCTGCTGCATGATCCATCTCTCTCAAGTCTCAACCCCTCTCTCCAAAAACCCAAAACAAAGGCAAAACAAATAAAAATAAAAGCGACCCAATAAAGCTACAACAGCAACAAGAACAAAAAACTATAAACAAAGAAAAAGAATATATATATCTAAGAAATGAGAGATTGGATTTGCTTGTTTCGCGGTGGGGTGGAGAAAGAGAAGCTAAAAGATTGTTTGAGGGTGGTGGTTGATTGGTGAAGGAGGGGTTATCTTTTGGAAATTGGAAGTTTCGGGGGACACGTGGAGGGGGGAGAGCAAGGCAACGAGGGAGTGGTCGTCACTGAAGATAACGAGCTCAACGGATTTCGTCGTCTTTCTTGTCTTCCAGAATTCAACGGTTTTGAGGTTTTTTTTTTCTTGTTTTTCGGTGAAGCAGACGAGAGGTAGTGGGCTACGATAATAAATAATCATTTTTTCCGTTCCAGACATAGGTCAGGTGAAGTATCCAATTTTATATTCGGTGCCTTCCATTCTTTGGTATTTTCTTTTTTGGCCCTAATGTTACACTATTTATTCTTTAAGAATTTATTTGGTACACAAATTATTATTAGATAAGATAAAAATAATATTATGAATAAAATTAAATAAAATAATATTATACCATATTATATTTAATATGTATAAAATTACAATAAAATAATTTATTTATTAATCAAAATTATAATTCTTTAAATTTTATATAATTTAAATTATTAATATCATTTTTAAAAGTATAACAAGACATGTGAATTTAATATCATGAATTAAAAATAGTTATATTTACTTTAATAGGATTGAATCATCTTATAAAAAGAATAATTAATTCTTATCATAATCATATCATTTTTTTTTAGATTCAAATAGAATATAATATAAAATGATTATGATTTTATCATATTCATCATCTTATGCACACTTTATGTATAGAAAATTATATTATAAGGCCTAAATAAGAACAAAATTAACAATAGAAAATCGTTAGGATTTCTTTTCTTTTTCTCTTTCATTTTAGTATATATTTATTATATATATTATATTATATGAATTTATTTATATTAGTATCATTTTTATATTTTTTTAAATTTTTAAATCAAAATTACTAAATTTAAAAATATTATTTTAATTCAAATGAGTCATGAATTTAATTTTAATCTAATAATCCAAAAAAGTGTAAAATATTACACTACTATAAATGAATCACTCCTTTTATATATATATATATATATATATAATTATAAGAGCTCGTAATTTTTTAATTTTAGAAGCAAGATTAAGAAAATATCATTTCGTGATTATATCACCTATAATTATTGCATTATAATTAACCCATTACAATTCAAAAAATAATGTTACTTTGAAATCATATCACTTACAACTATTACACTACAATTAATCAATTACAATTCAAAATTATATGAGAACCAATAAAATTTTACATGAAGCCTTAAAGTCTTATATAGTTTTTTTATTATAATTAAACAATTATAAGTAAAATGCTTCAGATAATTTCTCTATGTATAAAAATAAATTATTAAACTTTTTTAAAAATTTTTAATTTACCTTTGAACTCTTATCTTATTATTCATTTGATTAAAAAAGATATTACACATATAAAGTTCTTTGAATTTATAGTCTTTAAGCGTTAGAATCAATAACATACCAACTATTTACACAAAAAATGACAAACCACTAATCTAAAAGTCAATTGCCAAAAAAGATTAAACTTAATTACCTAAAATCTTGCTCAATTAGTCAAGCCAATTACTTGAGTGGAGAGGTATACGTTAGGTCTGTTTTTATGTAATAAATTATGTAGTAGTATTAGATAATTTTTCATAAATTAATTTATATGATATTCTAAAAGTATTTTTAACAAAATTTTAAAAAAAAATTATGCTTTACTATTTTATTAACTCAGTCATTCCACAATATGAATAAAGGCTTACCATTGAAATATTGATTATTCAATTTTTTTGATGCTCTTTATATCGAAGAAAGCTATAGTATGTTTGATTTGATCATCTATATTTTAGTTTTAAACTTTATATCAATTTTTTAAATTTTAAAGTATTAATTATATTATTTCATTTAATCTATAATCATATAATGCTAATTATATGATCTTCCTAAAAAATTTGATTATGGCAACACAAGTAAAATAATTTATTACAATAAATGATTACTTAATTTATTGGTAAAATGTTAAACTCTTAATTACAATAATCAAATTTAGATCCTACAAATCTCAAATACAAAAAAATAAAAAATTGTTACAAAATGTTAAGAGAATAATATGAATCACCTCCGCATTAATTAAACTTCTATCCTATTTCTAAAATAAAAAAATTCTTTTATAAAATGAAATTATTAATAAAAAAATTATAATTTATTCAAGTATTACATATTTAAAATTAATTAATTAAATTAAATTAACAAACTAACCAATCAAAAAATGAACCAGTATATAATTAAATAAATTTACTATAAATAAAATTAAACTCATACATAATAAAATTTTAATTTAAAAATATAAATTTTAACTCATTATCATTAAATCAAAACCTCATGTGATTTGTTGTAAAAAGAACTTAGTTAAATGAAAAGTAAGTGATTTTATTATATTCCTTTCTTTCTCATCCCAAATATTAAATAAACATACCTAAGATTTTCATCAATTCGAAGTTATCATTCATTAAAAGTTATCAATATATAATTCAGCATTTTAATATTAATTAATAAATGAGTTTTTTTTTTTTAATTAATTCCTTTCTCACGTCACATGTATCTCCAACTTGACCTCCCATTACCTCACCCAATTATCATTTTGCCCACCAAGCATGGGAAACGACTTGTTTGTTTTTTTGGCCATGTCGTGGGAAACGATTCACGCTACTTATTTTTTTCACCTTTTGAACAATTTATTCAACCATTTTAATCACTTTGATGATATTTATTCACATGAAGAAACGCAGATAAACTCAAAAAATTGATGTAACATCTCACTTCATCCACAGATGAGCATTCAAATAAACTCTTACGATAACTTGAACTCTGACCACAGACCATTTAACATTCAACTTTTACACAAAGGTCCAACCAAGAATTAATTAATTACCTAGCCCAACTACTAGGCTTCAAATTTTGGTCCAAATTCTGCAAATTTGTGCCACTTAGAAGACCTAATAAGGGAGCCCATTATGATATGTCAATAGTTTGAGATTTGAGAGTCATTCGTCACTTCACGGGTTCTATGAACCCTACCGTTTGGAAATACCAAACATTTGCTTTGCTTTGAAATGCTTCCTTTAATTTGCATCAACATCTTTTCACGCTCCATTTATGAGCTCTGAATTTTGGTTGGATGAATTCTATATGTAAATAAGAAGGTTTTCCCCAATGGTTTAATTGATTTTGTACTTTCACTTTTTGGGGAGACCGTTCTCAAGAAAAACTTGAGGTGCTTGATGAGTTAGCAGCGACTCACTTTCACATCTTATGCAGATTTCTCTTTCTCTACTTAAAATTATATGGCTTATTAGCTGAAGTTGTTTTATAAAGTATCATTGGTGATGACAACGCTGAATGTTTTCAGCAATGGCATTGAATGGTACTGCTAACCAAATAGTTCCACTTCTTCATCTTTAAATTTGCATGAGAATCACACCCCAATTAGTGAACACGAAAAGTTGTAAATGTCAGGAAGGCTGCAGACGCTACATTTTTAGGACTTAAAAGCTTTCAGCATACTCCCAAACTTGTTCACTTCAATTTGCATGTGGAACATGTTGCCATGGTTTTCTCTAATGTCAAAAACTTTAACCCAACATTTTTTTTTTATTTTGTTTCATGTTCCACGAGAGACACCTTATTGGTTAAACATTTCGAGTGAATGTGTTTTTAACTATTATCGGTTTTGTATTTTGTTGATTGATCCTTAGGTTTAGGCCTCAAAGGTTCTAGCTATTCAAGGGAATGCAATATCTGCAGGACCTTGACACGATGTGAGGTATTATTTTAACATGTGACAGACATTGCTTTCATTTCAGGACTAGCATTGGCAAACATATTCCATTATATTTATGCAATTATATTTATTTAATATTCATGAATAAAATTATTGAATTTAAAAGAAAAAAAAACTAACTTTGGGTCAAATTCATTTATATCATATTTTAAATGAGTCGAGCCAAGCTCGTTTCTCACGATATCAAAACTTTTCAACAAACACAAACGAACCTCAAATAATCTTTAAAATAAACAAATGATCATAAACTTAAAATTTTCATGTTCCACTGGTTTCAAGCCCTAGTGAAATGCTGCATCCGAATAGAATATGTGATGCCTGATAACCATTCAATATTTCAATTACGTTGGTGGAAAGAGATGATTTTACTTATTTTAACAAATAAAAATTTGTCCTTAGATTTTTTAGTTTTTCAGTTAAAAAGTGTATCAATTTTTATTAATGAAACAAAAATTTTCTAGTGCCAAAAAAAAATAAAAGAAAGAAAGAAAATTATTCTAACTTTTTTTTTCTCTACCACCTACGCAATGGATACCCAAAATCTGGCAGAGAATAATTATAAGTAAATCTGAAGTAATTATGCCATAAAAAGTGGCTTGGACAAAATCCCTAGATTCTTTGTCTTTGAAACTTGTAAGGAAAAGATGAAGGTTTGAGGTTTTACTTATATCACCCAAACATCCCAAAGGAGGACACACCCCCCTGTCATTCGGTTTCACCTGGCTCCTTCAATGTCCTCATTTGACAAATTTTCTAGATATTCTAGATAAACCTCCCGTTTATCTGGAAATATTTCATTTATAATTTTTATTATAATAAAAATCATATACCAATCGATAACTTTAAAGTATAAATTTTATATAAATTTTAAATTATTATTAATTAATTACATTACAATAATTATAAATAAATGATATGATTCCTCCAATCCCCTTTTCCTAAAGCCACCAAATCTCAACTTTCCTGACCGCTCATCCATGGGCACGCCCTCTCTCAAACGCAGCCCTAAAAGTCCCACCAAATCTCCTCTCTGCCGTAAAGTTTCATTTACACCTCTGCCACTCACTTCATGCCACGTATTTAACGGTAAAGTGTTTTTTACGTTATTTGGACGTCATGACAATAAAATGACAGGAACACCCCGCGGCGTGCCTCGTTCCCGACTCCGGCCTCCCCAACATGTTGTTTCTATGTTCAGACTTGAGACCGAAAAGTTAGAACGTGACTCCAACTTCCTCCCCTGCATAAGGTTTTGTTTGCACCATCGGTAAAAATCATTTGTTTATTTTTTTTATTTTATATAAAATTATTTAAAATTAAATTTGATCATTAAAATTAAAATTTTAATATTTTATGAATAATAGTTGACTTATTTGTTTCATTAAATAATTTAAAAAATATAATTAGCAAATTATCAAAAATAAATTATTAATTAATTTTTTCTTTGATTTTTAGTATTACTATTATTGTGGAAAAATCAACAAAAGCTGCAAGCTTGCAACTGCATTTTTTTGGTAGATCAAACCAGGTTAACTACAAAGATCAAGACCTTTTCTGTCTTCCTTCAACAGTGACGATAATTCATCTGGTGGTTCCTCTAAGATGGAAACCCCTAGAACTTCTGTGCTAAGTTAATAAGTAAATCATCAAGGTTTCATTTATTTTGCAAAAAATAATTTTTAAAAATGATTTATGTATTGTTTTAATAGTTATTTGATATAAAATTGACTACTAAACAAAAATAATTTCCTAATCAATGTAAATGAGATTATTTTTTTAAATTATCTTTCTCTTTTAAAAAAAATTAAAAAAACTATTTGTAAATAAAAATACTTATTAAATTAATGAATATAATTCTACTCAACCCAAAATCAGCAAACCTTTTGCCCTCACGTAAAATATAACGCAATTTTCTTTCTCAGCCTTCCCGAATTAACAGCATACATTACTCAATTAATGCAAAACAAGGGTGAGAATATCCAATCAATGAACAACCACCGTCTCATTCACCTACCTTAGCAATGATTTGTTGTATATTCAAAATTTTGGCTAACCTAAGACCTCCTCTAACACTCCATACTTCCGCCGTAAGGCTATTTGTAACACCAATGTTCATAACAAAACCCTTACGGCCATTACTGTCCCTAAACAATTAAAAACTAATATCACAAAATAATTTCTTTTTTTTTACTTTGCCAGTAACAAATTCCCTTTTAGTTCTGCAAAGCAAACACGTTGCTCTTAAAAAATCCATTGAATAAAAGAAAGAAAAAGCAGCAGCTACAACTCCTATTAAAGTAATCAATTGATTTAAGCATTTTTTTCAAAATTATAAATATAAACAAATTAGAATCATAATGATTATTACATTCATAATAAATAATTAATTAATAGATTAAAATATAATTAAATAATCAAATTCATAAATAATAAGATTTAAGATTTAAATATTAAAATTTCAAGACTTTTTCCTTGCCTTTAAATCAAAACCTCCCTAGCATTTTAGCATTTTTTTTCTCTGTTTAAAGAAAAAACGAATTATAGTATTTTAGTAATTAATTATTATTATTATTACAACTAGATTAATTAAAAAGTAAAACATATAGAAAATAGAGTGCATTGGAAATGTCTTCTCGTTCTTTTTCAACCTCTCAGGCGATTCTCTGCATACTTTTCCCAATCTTTGACTCTCCCCTGTATTTTATTTTAGCAAAATACAACGCACAAAACTCCAGGCCACCTCCCCATTTTCTCTTTTTCTTTCTCTCTACTCTTCTACGCGTCCGGTTCATCCGGTAACCTCCGTCTTCTCTGCCCGTGCTTGCATCAGTTCGCCGCCGCACCGCCGTCTCTTTGACCTTTGAGTCGTCCCACCGTCAGTCAAACTTAAGGACCAAATTTGTCGTGGTGGTTTGAAGAGGTGAATGCTAGGGTTTTGGTGTTGAAGTTTGGCTGCTGAAGGAGCGGTAGATCTGTTGAAGTTTGTCTGGAATTGTTGTGTTTTCAGTTTTTGGAAATGGAGGTAAAGACGTTTGGATGGTAAGCGTAGGAAGGAAAGACGAGAGAAGTGAAGAGAAGGAGGAGGTGGTAGAGGCAGATGATGAACGGAGCTCAAGAGAGCGATCGTAGAGGGAGGTGGCATTTTGGTAATCTCTTCACATGGAATGGCAGATCTTGTTAGCTACGGCAATGCCCAACGTGACATCGACCAGGTCTTCCTCTTTCTCTTTCTATTTTTCTTCGTCATTATTTTTTTTTCTTAGTTTATAGTATAAATTTTAAGATTTTTATTTATGGTTATATATTTCTTCTCAATTTCTTTGTTAACTTTTTTTTTTTTTAGTTTCAATTTTGTCCCCCGGTTTTTCTGATCAGAGGGGAAGAAATGAGGGTTAGTTTTGTAGAAATTTTTGATTTTTTCGGTTACTTCACTGAATGGCGGAGATGAGTGTTTGGTTTCTTTTTCTAGATTTTAGTAGACTTTACGCAGCTTGGAACAAAAGGTGTCTTTTTGTGCCTAATTTAGGAGAATGTTGAAATTTCTGTTATTTCTTGATTATTAGAAATTTTAGGGGAAAAATGATTGACAACTTTATTTAATGAAATTGGTAGTTGCATGCTTTTTTAGGGACCAAATTAAACTTTGCATGAAAACATATCATCCTATAAGTTTTCCAAATGTCAAAGCCATGCTGATGTGCTTGGCATTGTGTAAATAATGCATTGACTAATACATTAGACGTAAAAGTAAGGTGATGTTTATGAACATTGAACATATACATGTCTATTAGTCGGGAACGGAGTAAGCAATGCTTAAATGTGCTGCGTGTTGGTCAACAATTATCAATTTATAATTAAGTGAGTGTTAGGTTTGGTTACTATAACTTCGTCATATTGTCATTAATATTGTTTTCTTTCTTGATGGTAATGTTCTTGATTTTGTTAAACAATTTCCTGGGCATATCTTGATGTTAATATCCTTCTACAAATAATCTTTTTACCTTATGTAGGCATTAATAGCTTTAAAGAAGGGTGCTCAGCTTCTGAAATATGGTCGCAAGGGAAAGCCTAAGTTTTGTCCATTTAGACTCTCTAATGTAAGTCTGATTCCAACTTTTGAGGCCTTTCTGTTATGTTACTCTGATGTTTGAATATTACTCTTTTATGCTTTGTTAGACAGTGTTAAGTTGAAATGTGCTCAAATACTGAGAGACACTTACTAGAAAACCATGCATTAAAGTTCATTTGCTTTCAGTATGTGGAAGTAGTAATTATATTGACATTGAGAATTACTAAAGTTATGATTTCACAGTCTTACATGCTTTGTTTTGGTTGGTACTAGTCTTTTCCTCTTTATAGGCATGTCACTATGAAAATAGAAACAAGTATACAGTGATAAGTGATCGGTTATCTTTTTCCATAACTGCTATTCCTAACTTGTCCTATAATTTTAGGACTCTGTTTTGAATAAACAGGTGATGCTGGTTTACGTGTTGCTTGGCCTTTTACAATTTTTATGTTTTATCCAACTAATAATCCCATGTTTGTTTAATTGCTGCACCTGCTAATTGTTTCCATTTGTTAAAATTTCAGGATGAAACATCTTTAATCTGGATTTCAAATAGCGGAGAAAGAAGTTTGAAGTTAACCGTGGTCTCTAAAATTATTCCTGGACAAAGAACTGTGAGATCTTTATGGTTTTATTGTTACACACATACATTGTATATTTTACTCTGTTCATTACTATTTTTGTCACAACATCTAGTTTTCTTCCAGCTATGCTTGGATTTTTTCTTCTGAATTTATACTGATTCTTCTTCGTTAATGCTCAATCAGGCTGTTTTCCAGCGGTATCTCCGTCCTGAGAAGGATTATTTATCCTTTTCTCTTATATACAACAACGGGAAAAGGTCTCTTGATCTGGTTAGTAATGGAACTTTGATATTCTGTTTGTAGATAAATGATAAACTATTTTTGATATTTTTATCTGCTTACTTGCATATGTTTTAAATTTAATGTCTTGTTGGCTCCTAGATTTGCAAGGACAAAGTTGAGGCAGAGGTGTGGATTGCAGGCCTCAAGGCATTAATAACATCTGGTCGGGGTGGACGCTCCAAAATTGATGGCTGGAGTGATGAAGGCCTCTACCTTGATGTAATTTCATCTCCATTGACTCCTTTTCACTAATTGTTTTGTGGTTTTTCTGTTTCATGAAGTACCATACATAATAATTCCTATTTGTACTTTTTCGAAATGTGACAAATTTGCCCAAGAATTATTCATTATTCATGAATCATCTCTAAAATTATCATCTAATTTCATTTATAGGCATAAAAATTCAAGCTTTCTAGTATTTTGTTGATTGTGTTACTATTATAGCTACAGTTGTAAATTGTTTATGACATAAATGTTCATGACCAATTGATTTCAGGATGACAGAGACCTGACATCAAATAGTGCAAGTGAAGGTTCTGTTAGTGCTACTCAAGATATTAGCTCCCCTGAGATTTCTGTTAGTTTTAACCCAAACACTTCTCCAAAGAGTTTACAGGCTGAGAATTCTTTTCATTATGAAAGGTCAAATATAGCATCAGACGTTACAAATATGCAAGTAAAAGGATCTGGTTCTGATGTTTTTCGTGTAAGTGTTTCTAGTGCCCCAAGTACTTCAAGTCATGGTTCTGCACTGGATGATTATGATGCTTTAGGGGATGTGTATATATGGGGTGAGGTTATCTGTGATAATGTTGTGAAGGTTGTAGCTGATAAGAATGCCAATTATTTGAGCATGAGAGCGGATGTGCTTCTTCCCAGGCCTTTAGAGTCTAATGTTGTTTTAGATGTACATCATGTAGCCTGTGGGGTCAAGCATGCTGCCCTAGTTACAAGGCAAGGTGAAGTTTTTACATGGGGTGAAGAATCTGGGGGACAACTTGGCCATGGTGTTGGGAAGGATGTTATTCAACCTTGTCCTGTTGACACACTGGCTGTTTCTACTGTTGATTTTGTTGCCTGTGGAGAATTTCATACTTGTGCTGTTACAATGGCTGGGGAACTTTATACATGGGGAGATGGAACTCACAATGCTGGGCTTCTTGGCCATGGTACTGATGTTAGCCATTGGATACCGAAGAGAATTTCAGGTCCTCTTGAGGGACTTCAAGTTGCTTCAGTATCTTGTGGTCCATGGCATACAGCGTTGATAACATCAACAGGACAGCTGTTTACTTTTGGGGATGGTACATTTGGTGTCTTGGGCCATGGTGACAGAGAAAATGTTCCATATCCAAGAGAAGTAGAGTCTCTTTCAGGATTGAGAACAATTGCTGTGGCCTGTGGAGTGTGGCATACTGCTGCCATTGTTGAGGTTATTGTCACTCAGTCTAGTGCTAGTGTTTCATCAGGAAAATTATTCACATGGGGGGATGGGGACAAAAATCGCCTTGGACATGGAGACAAGGAACCCCGGCTTAAGCCCACATGCGTTCCAGCACTAATTGATTACAATTTTCACAAAGTTGCTTGCGGGCATAGTTTAACAGTTGGTTTGACAACATCAGGGCAAGTTTTTACGATGGGTAGTACTGTGTATGGTCAACTTGGGAATCCCTCTGCTGATGGAAAGCTACCGTGTTTGGTAGAAGACAAACTTTCAGGGGAATGTGTTGAAGAAATTGCCTGCGGTGCGTATCATGTAGCGGTTTTAACATCCAGGAATGAAGTCTGTACCTGGGGAAAAGGAGCTAATGGCAGGTTGGGTCATGGAGATGTTGAAGATCGAAAAACTCCTACTCTGGTTGAGGGATTGAAGGATAGACATGTGAAATATATTGCTTGTGGTTCAACTTATAGTGCTGCAATATGTCTCCATAAATGGGTATCTGGTGCTGAGCAATCTCAATGCTCAGCTTGTAGACAGGCTTTTGGGTTCACCAGAAAAAGGCATAATTGCTATAACTGTGGACTTGTGCACTGCCATTCCTGCAGTTCAAGGAAAGCACTAGGAGCAGCTTTGGCTCCTAACCCTGGGAAACCTTATCGTGTCTGTGATTCCTGTTTTGCCAAACTGAATAAGGTTTCAGAAGCTGGTCATAACAGGAGGAATTCCGTACCTCGCCTTTCAGGTGAGAACAAGGACAGGTTGGATAAGTCTGAAATAAGATTATCCAAATCTACAACTCCTAATATGGACTTGATTAAGCAGTTAGATAGCAAAGCAGCCAAACAAGGAAAAAAAGCTGAAACCTTCTCCTTGGTTCGCTCTACTCAAATACATTCTTTATTACAGTTGAAAGATGTTGTTTTGTCTACTGCTGTAGATTTGCGACGGACAGTTCCTAAACCAATTCTTATACCATCTGGAGTAAGTTCCAGATCTGTTTCACCTTTCTCAAGGAGACCTAGCCCTCCACGTTTTGCTACTCCAGTTCCAACAACATCCGGACTTTCTTTCTCCAAAAGTATCACAGATAGTTTGAAAAAGACAAATGAACTTTTGAACCAAGAAGTGCTTAAGTTGCGTGCACAGGTGAGAATGTTGTTGCTGGTGCTTTTAATATTGTATTTTATTTCAGGCTATTCTGACATTCGGGAAGGGGGATGGGCCTTGTGGTGACTGAATCAATGTACTTCTGATGATTATGGATCTGTTCTAGGTTGAGACCCTAAGAAAGAGATGTGAACTCCAAGAATTGGAGCTTCAAAAATCAACAAAGAAAGCTCAGGAAGCTATGGCAGTGGCTGCAGAGGAGTCTGCTAAATCTAAAGCTGCAAAAGAAGTTATAAAATCACTGACAGCACAGGTTACCTTCCGTTTTATATTGTTCTTTCTATTGTTTCTTTGAACTCTCTTATTTGGAAATCTGTTTTTATTAACTTGCAAAGCAATTTTAACAACCTCTCATGATATGCATAATGGTTTAGTTAACATTATTAGCAATTGAAGATGATTAAATGATTCCTTTCATTACTTGTATATGTTAAAAATTACTTTTTATCTTTGTGATAATAAAATTTGCATTCTTAATTGTGAGATTTGGTGTCAATTTGCAATCCTGGCTTTTTCCTTGCCTTGTCAATTTGCTTCTCATAATGCTCAAAAGGATTTATCTCTATGCTACTTCCCAGCTCAAGCATATGGCTGAGAGGTTGCCACCTGGAGTTTATGACACTGAGAACATTAAACCAGCATACCTGCCAAATGGCTTGGAGCCAAATGGTGTTCACTATCCAGATGCAAATGGAGAGGGACATTTGAGATCTGATTCAATTGGTGGTTCTTTCCTTGCTTCCCCTACTGCACTCGATTCTACCACAATCAATGGCACTCAGAGCCCTACCCAATTACTTAGGGAACCAACTGGAGCCAATGGTAGAGATGACCGTTCAGGTACTAGACTGCCCAATGGCAGTGGAGGTTTTCAGGCTGGAAACAGTAGTGTGTCAGAGGCTGTTGATAAAAGGGAATCTGGGACTTTTGGAGATGGTGAAAATGGTATGAAATCTAGAAATTCTGCGCTGGTTGCTAATGGAGATCAAGTGGAGGCTGAGTGGAGTGAACATTATGAGCCTGGAGTCTATATAACTCTTGTAGCACTGCGGGATGGAAGTAGGGATCTCAAACGGGTGCGCTTCAGGTACATTTTCTAAGTTCTTTTATATCTAATCATTTATTTATTTATTTTGCCTAAATACAACAATAACAACATAAAAGAAAAAAGAGATGAACAAGAAAACTAATAATTTGTTGATTTGACATCTGAAAAAAATGTAGGTTTTTACCTGAGTTTTCTTAATCATTTTATAATTTCTGGTAACATGATTTGAAAGTAAAGGAAAGCCTTTATAGGAAAAACAACTAGAAAAAAGAATAGAAAGCAGCCATCTATGTGGGTCTGAATCTCGCATCCATGTAGCTTGTGGATGCTCAGATGGATAACTATTTGATCTAATTGATATGGGATGTTAAGAAATGCTCTTAAATGCAGCCGGAGAAGATTTGGAGAGCACCAAGCAGAAACTTGGTGGTCAGAAAACCGTGAAAAGGTGTATGAGCGGTACAATGTTCGAGGATCAGACAAAGCATCAATTTCTGGGCAAATTGCACGCAGATCAGAAGGAGCTTTTTCACCCACTTCGCAAGTGTAACGTAAGGAGGGAGGGAAATTTAGCATCGACTCATCTTGTGCCTGTGATAAGGCTAAGGAGGGGAAACCCCCTTTTCTTTTTCTGCTTCTCTTTTTGTTCCTCGTCTATAATTTAATTTCTTCCATTTAATTTCTGGGTTATTTACCCTCATACATATCTGTTGTATTGTAGTGTATATAAAATCATCAATTGCGAGATAGTCGTGGCCAGATAGATTTTGTTCCTTGGCCTTGCTTTCTCCATCCCCAGTTCCCCACACCACTTTGCCCTTTTCTTTTTGTCTCTTTTCTTCTTTACAACTCATATATTTTGGTGGGCTTGGTTGAACACAAAAACAGCGACATACTTAAAGTAAGCAAAGATCCCACAATCTTCCCTATTTTTCCCTTTCCATTATGTTAAGGCAGGTACCGTGCAATGGGGCTCTTGAGTTGGAAAATTATTCCGTCTTAATAAATGATTTGGCCACCAAATGATTGAAAGTAAAACAATGATTCTTTCATTTCATTTTATTCATTTTCTTCCGTATTCCTATCATTGAGTCATTTCCCCAGCTCATATTTTAAGATGTGCAAAATTCTTGAACGGCAAACGACCCATATTTTGGTAGGTTAGGCAGCTATACACAATGAAACCCAATAAAGACCCATGTATGTTTTTGAGAGTCAAATTATATGCAACGGAAAAAGAAAGAATAGGTGAGTAGTTTTTTACACCAATAGTATGAGATGAAAAAGGGTCTTTGGTGGTTTCTACCGCAATAATATGAGCCATCCGTCTCATGCATTGGGTGCTCAGAATTTATTACTAAAGAGGTGTGGTAAATTGCTAATCACTTGGTTGGCTGGGATTTAAACAAATGTAAATGCATATATTTTTGTTATATGTTTTTTAGTTGTGGAGTTACTTATCTGAGATAATTCATTCAATAAGTAGGAATGACGCAATTTAGGGAGTTTTTGCACTATTACATTTTTGTTGATAGCAAATAAAATCCTTATAGAATGTACCCAAGAATTAAAAAAAAAAAAACTTGTAAAACTTAAAACCATGAAGGCTCTAACATATTTATAAGCAATTATTTCTTGTGAGTAGTTGTATTAGCGTACACTTTAGTATTTCTATTAATTTAAATAGAATTTGACCATCTGTGAACCATTACGAAGATGTATTAGTAGATGATGATAAGGCATTTCTTTCCTCTTTTTCATTTTTTTTAACAATGCTAAGCAATAAGTATATGGGCAATCGCAAATACAAATATGAACAGAGGCTAGTAATTGAAAGAAATATCCCCCAACAACGATGTCATCGATCCATCATCCAGTTAGCTTTCTAATTCTGAAATGGTAGAAAATTTTGTGAACCTTGTCTGCCAATAGTCGCATATATATATATATATATATATATATATATATATATCCAACAAAATGATTCACAATTTCTTTGCCCATCAAAAGTCAGGAAACCAAACACAATTCATGGGCCACAATTGTCAGAGTATGATGAATTGTATTTTGTCAGATGAACAGCTGAAAACAAGAGGATAATTTTTATCCGGTGCCTTTATCAACATTTGTTAATAAGAAGTTCAAATATTATTTAAGAAATTTTTTATAATTAATGCATTGTTTATACATTAATTATATATATTTTTAAGAAATTATTTAATACACAGGTAATAAAGTTTTTTAATTTCATAAATAGGATAATTAACTCATTCAAATTTTTTAACTAGTTTTTTTTTTTTTTAATTTTTTACTCTACCTTTAGAGATATGTATTTTTATGTTAACCCATTTATGAAGTCCAAAAATTTCACCATTAACGTATTTGATAATTTTTTTGCACTCATTAACATTTTCTTAATTTAAAATTTTAAAATATCTCTGTTATGGAAGAATTTTAGCTCTTGCCCTACTTAGGATTATTGGAAAAGATAATAGTTCTGATTAGAATTTTCCTAAATTAAGTAGAATTGTATGCTTTGCAAATGAATTAGGTTGTTGATTAGAAAGAAAAATTGAAAGTCTTGTTTAAGTCAACCAAGTGACCGGCAATCAAATAGTAGTAGCTTAAAAATGTTGCCAAAATTTCCATGGCACTTTGTAAAGTGATTAGGAGTATTTTGTATGGGCTGTTTTTGTCTAACCAAACCTCTTACCAAAATCCAAAGTTTACTATATTAACCACCTTTGACCTTGGCTTCTGCCTGCCTTGATCATATATAATCTCTCACATGGCTGCCACTTCTTACTTCTTCTTAGGGCACATGCGGTTGAATCTCAGTGCCCTTTCATTTGAAACTTCAGAAAATCATTTTCTCATCATATTTTCATGAGTTGAGAAAACCCTTACTAGAAAAATAGAACAAGTTTATGAAATCAAAGCCTTTTGAGCATTTCAATGTTGAATGAGTCCTTGAATGTTCTTGTATCTTATCCCTTTCTCCATTCTTCCCATAAAAAAAAAAAATGTTTCTCATGTTTTTTATTAATACTATATGTTTAAACAAGTTGAATGAATTATATAAACTTTTATAATTTAAACTACTACTATTAATTTTATATGGAATGAAACAAGAAATTGTGGTCATATGCTACAACCTTTTTTTTACCCTGGTTTCTCCTTTGCAAATGAAATACAGAATTCTTACAAACTACTGCTTAATACTATTAGTATTACTTTTTGTATATATGATATCTTTTGTGATTCTTTCATAATTTAAATCAAGAGCCATTAAACATCAAATTAAAAGTCATTAATCATAAAGTAAAATTATATTCATTAGATTGCGTATTCAATTTAATTGAACATGTAATAGATGATATTATATAATAATAGAAAATCAACAATGCCATAGTGGATCATCATCATCACCATTATTATTTGGGAGAAAAAATTGAATCCTGCTATTTAAATATAAAGATCATGCACCAATTATAAAATCAAATGCTCAAGTATTTAATAATTTTTATAAATTATTGAAATTAAGGTTAAATTTATCACTAAAATATGATTCAACATTTATTAAATTTTGCTATTATATTTTAATTTTATTCAGTTTTATCACTATATTTTTTAGTTGATTTTAGATAAAAAGTAATAATGGAGACCAAAACTCAAAGGAATTAAAATATTTGATTAAAGCAAGTAACAAATGTAGACACCGAATTTTGTCTGAGTCTACTAGATTAAATCTTATTTTCGAGTTTTGTTTATTAATGTTGAAATTAATTAATAATTAAATATAATAATCAATAAAAACAAAAAACAAAAAAATGCAAAATGAGAGAAAAGAAAGAAGAACAAGACAGGGTTGGTAGAGGTGCCTTGCATGGCACTACTGGCCATTCCCATATCTTGCAAATCCTATTCACCCCATCAGCACTCCTGAACTACCACGCCAAAAGTCCCATGCCTTGTTAATCTTAGATCTATACAAAAACCAATTTGAACTTCTAATAAAAAAGAGACCTTTCGGACCCCGAAGCACTGATCCTTTTCATCTCTAGCACCTTACATCTTCATACCTAGTGCCCAGACCTCTCCCAGTTCGATTCAGGTAAAAAAAAATTAACTTTTAAATTTTTATATATATATTATTTTTGTTATTTTAAATTTTACTATTAATATTTATGCATGATAAAATGCTTAAATGTGTTAGAATAAATTTTGTTGTTTTTATAATAGTAAAAAATAAACAATGAATTCAAACTTTTGAATAATAAATAATAAATAAAATAGAATAATAACAAAAAATTCTAAAAAAAATAATAATAATCTAAAAAATAATAATAAGAATAAAATAATAATTTTTTTATTTTCCCTTGTTGGAAGGAATAAAAACCTCAAACCCTAAAATATAATTCCTCCTAGATGTTGGAGAATTATATAAAAAAATTAATAATAATAAATTTTCATAAAAAAAGGAAATATATGAAATTTTTAATTAATTTTCAGAAATTATAAAAACCAAACTTGCTTCGAAAATCCACTTAGATGTTAGAGATTTTTAGAGATGTTTATGTTTTTTTAAACCCTAAACCCTTTAAACCCCAAAACTAAAAGCCTAAATATTCTAAACCCTAAAACTAAAAACCTAAACCTAAAATCCTTAAATCTAAAACCCTAAAACCAAACCCTTAAACCCTTAAAACTCCAACCAAAACTCTAAAATACAAAACCCTTAAAACTTTTTTTTATTCAAATTTTAAAACCCCAAATTTGGTACACAATCTCAAATCGTCACCCATAACTCATCCAAACTTTAAAATCTCAACCCATACATATTCAAAATCATTCTGAATCATAAGGATATAAGTGATAATCTCATTTGAAATAATTTGTTCTCAAATGTTGCCTAAATGATGGGGTATTCAAGAAACTTTATTTTATTAAGTTTTTCATGCCAATCATTAATTCAAAATGATAAGCTTTAATAAAAAAAGTATAATAATATAATGAGATCTTAAATAAAAATAGTCGCACCTAAGCTTTACCTAGATATTGAATAGTCAAGATGGTCTCATTATATTTAAGAATCCAATTTTAAAATTGTATTTCATCATTACACACAACATCAGTTAATGCACCTATTTATTATTGATTGCACTCAATTCGCATGTTTATACTTTTACTTATCGTTTGTTGTATAATAATATCATCGTTGGCATTTTCGCATAAAAGATGTGTTTAATTTAAAATGTAAAATAAAACAAAAATAACATCTCGAGGGGAATAATTCTTGATACTTTAGCTAGATGTTACAAAGTTATCAACAATTATCTTTCTCAAAGAATGTTGTTTTCATTTTCAAAGGATGTCATGATAAATATCAGTTAAAAGCATTATCTTCAAAGTTCTGCCTAGTTGTTAGAGAATTTTAAAATAATTTTTTAACTTAAAGATTTTTTTGATACTTCTAAATAAAGAATTTTAATAAAATTAATTTTCTTTCTTTTAAAATAATAAAATAGGATTATTATTAAATTTCAAATCAAAACTATTTCATCCAACACTGAAAATAGTGTATGATTAAATGGTACCAATTTATGGGCGTTGTGGGAGTGCTAATCTTTCCCCACACGTAACTGACTCTTGGACTTATCCTGATTTTCGTAGACCAAAATTTATTTTTTTGATGAACTTTAAACCCGTTTTATAGTTTTATTAAAAAGATAAACTTTTGGGTGGCCAACTACACCATAAAAAAGATTAGTGATGACTCCTCTCGTTTTTCTCGATTCTAAAATTCTTTACGTCTAGCAATTTCAAAATCGTTATGATAGCTTGGCGACTCTACTGAGGACCTTTGAAAGTCAAGCAAAAAATTTTAATTATGCGCTATTAATAATTATTGGATTTAATTGGTTTTATTTGATATTTAATTTAATTCCCTTTACTTTAATTTTTCAAAAATATGTATACAAGTTAATAAATAAAATAAATTGTATGGTAGTTATTCCACTGAGGACCTTTGAAAGTCAGGCAAAAAAGTTTAATTATGCGCTATTAATAATTATTGGATTTAATTGGTTTTATTTGATATTTAATTTAATTCTCTTTATTTTAATTTTTCAAAAATATGTATACAAGTTAATAAATAAAATAAGTTGTATGTTAGTTATTGTTTTCTTTTGATACTGTGTTTATGATTTGTTTATAATATTTTATTAATATGTCACATGGCACACTTCTACATATTCACTTATATGCATGAGCTTTAGACTCGGGCTCTATTCCTTTTAAAAGGAAGTAAAGTAGCTACGCTATCGTGAGGTGATAACCTTCGTATTTGCTAGTAAAATACTTTCACTTAGATTAAACCATTTTCGTTAGTAGCTTGTAATGGGTAAGGATTAGGGAGTCTTATTAGTCTATAATAGATGATGATGTGAGGAACAGTCTGAAAACCTTTACAAATATAAATCTTAACCCAACATATCATGAGCCATAGGAAGCTTGACTAGGGTAAAGTCATGCTAACCTTTTT